GGGTGTTTCGATGTATTAGGTCTAATGTGAAATGGACTTAAGTTAGCAATGAATTTAGCCCATTTTTATTAGAAATGAATTGCGTGGAGATTTTCCTCAGGGTCTCAGGCAACTGCTACAGTGATCAGTTTGGTTGTTCTAATATAATAAGCAGATATTGACTTTAGTTGAGGTGAACACCAAGATTTACTGTCTTGAAAGCTAAAATATCGACTGAGGGAAAACCAAAGTCAATATTTACCTTGAGGAACAATAAATCTTGATGTTCACTGAAATATGAAGTCACTATGATTTTCAGAAGCGCTGAACTTAACTTCATTCTAGTTTACTCTGCAGGTGGTCATCAGAGAAGCTACCTGAAGTATAGGTATGAATTTCTTCCTATGAATCACATCACTTGAGCAAGTGCACTTATTTCTGTATGTCCTTTGCAAGGTCAGTATTTTTCCTGACCTACATTTAAATAAATGTTACAGAACATTATAAATCACATAAAAGCTCTCTGGTGGTTAGACATTTGGACTGTTCATTAAAAGGCAAGTATCAGCTATTAAAAGAGAAAATAAATAGACTAAAGTTTCTATATCCTGTTGAAGTAACTGTTGACATCAAGATAATTTAGCAAGGACTTATGGTTTTGCATTGGAGTGAATGGGAACTGGCTTCCCTTATTAGGGCAAGGCTGTAGCAGTTTGTCTCTTAAAAAGTTGCTTTTTGTTCTTCTTTCCTTTAATTTATTTAAAAATGTGCCCATCAACTTGATTTTAAGATTCAGATGTTAATGTATTTCAGGTTAATTATGGCTACAAAGAGTGATACATTGATCCTATGAAAGTCAGTGGCAAAACTCCCATTGACTTCAGTCAGGCATCATTTCACCCCTTGATTCATTGAAACCAAAACCCAGCATGTGAATATGAATAAAAATTGAGGAAAGCAGTTAATTTCCTAAAATGCTGAAAGTATTATGACTGTGTTTATTTCTTTAAAGAATTAAAGTTGAGGCACTAAGGGATGGAGCCAGGCTGGTCCCCTGGATGCTGAGCTCCGCAGCTCTGCCCGGGTCAGGTGTCTGCAGCTTCCAGCATCTTTTTCCCACCTGAGCTGTGCAGAACAACGGGCCCCTGTTCCCATTGCATGGTCTTCATTTAGTTTCTGCCCTTCAGGAGATGGATTGTGGTAGTACAGCTCTGTACATGTGTTGGGTGTCTCAGTCTGAAGGGTTTTGTAAATGCGCTGTCATAGTGCGTTTGCATAAATTTGCAGAAAGGTGAGCATTAATTAGATTATTTTCAAAGAAATTGTTGTCTTGGGAAGAGAAGCGGTGTAGTTGGACAAGAGATGTCTGTGTCTGCAGCAGAAATAGCAGATGGCAGATGTGGTCTGGGCCAGAATACTGAGACTGTGTCAAATTTGAAGCTTGGATACACTCTGTGTTGCAGCCAGGGATCTGTGGGAGCACGTCCCAATCCCCTCCAGGCTCAGGCACTTTGGCTCCTTGGGTTGGGTGAGGAATGAGGATGTCACATCCCATCCCAGCCTCTGTTCAGGGTTGGGACAGGGTGTTCCTTTGGACCCAGGAGGTGGGAAGTGATCCCAGGTTCCTCTGGTTTGTGGGACCCAAAGAACATCAAGGCTTAGCCAAAATCCTTTGAAAATGCAAAATCAACAACATCATCTGTTTGACCTCCTTCAGTACCACGGCTGTTAGCAAAAGATAGACATGAAAGCCTTTAAGGTTTGTTGGGCTTTTTTAAAAAAAAAAAAAAAAAAAAAAAAAAAAAAAGAGGAATTTGAAGTGATGGAAAAGAAATGATGGCAAACCAGGAGAGAGAAACAGGAGGAAATCATTGTCCCATGCAAGAGAGGATCACATGCCACATCACAGTAGTTTTAAATGCGAAGAGTCATGAATTATATTCACAGCTTCCAAAACACATACCCACATACCCATGAAAATCTCACATTGCTTTGAGACTCCCATTTAAAAGTGTAGCAGACTCTACCGATACGTGTAACTTGCTCCGAAGAAATCTGTCCCTCCCAATTACACGTGGTGGTTATTTACACCTTGGTGTGTCTCAGAGGTACTCAGGGGTGACACCTGCTCCGTGCTGACGCAGGGCAGAGGAGAGAGGTGTCCACAGACAGGACATGCAGTAGTGTCAGCACAGTAACTTCAGAAAACGGGTTATTTGTAACAATTATGTTTGGGGGTTTTGGTGGTGAGAGTAACCCGGGAATCCTGACCGAATCGAAAGTACAGTACAGGTCAGGAGCCTGGTGTTAGGGTTCTGCAGGAATGGCATGGCCAGTGCTGTGTGCCCTCCCTTGCAGAGTGGGATGTATGTCTGTCTGTCAGAGAAGGAGAGCTGATGGGGCTCCACATGTAATTGTACCAGCTTGACATGATTAGACAGCAGAATAGAAATACTCTATTAACTGGTTTTATTATTGCGATCCTGCCTGCTCTTGAAAGAGCTCGTCTGAAGTAGCACTTCATATCACATGTATTTGTGTCACTGCATCTGGGATCTATTTTGTCCTCACATGTTTCCTCGGATATATTTTAGTTCGTGTGGCATCCCAGCCCAGCCTAAACCCTGCTAGTTTTCTTACACAGAAACCACATCAGGTAAATGCTGCAGAAGGTTTTGACTACCAAAATGCAGTTGTGGTCAATTCCTGATGTTAGGCCTCTACTGCTAACTACAGGTGGGCTTTGCTGTTTTGGAGAGGTCTGAGGTTTAACAGATTTTAACTCAGGGCTCACTGAGATGAGCCGGGCTTTCCAAGCACTTGGTCTCGCCCAAGCGAGGGGCAGAGGCTGCTGGCGGCAGGCGGTGGGATGAGTGCTGGAAAGCTGACAGGGCTTGTGTCATGACCTGCAGGGTTCACAGCAATATCCTCTAACCCTGAGGAAGTGTTGTTAATTAGAGCAAGGAAGGAGAAGAATCTTAAATCCCAAAAGCCACTGTTTGTGCTGGGCCTGCCCCAGCTGCCCCGCCGTGTTTGCAGAAGGCATGCAGGCGGCACACGTGTCGTCACCTCTTGGCCTCTCCCAACCTCGTCTTTCTCTCCAAAAGTCTAAAGAGCAGGAGCAGGCATCCATCCAGCTCTTAATAGACTTATTAATAAGTAAGTTTTACCTCCCTTAACACTGCCCAGTGAGACGTCTACCCCTGGGCTGCAGGTCCCCTGCCTGCCAGCAGCCAGTTCTCACCAAGTTTGGCACTTCACTCTCTCTTGATTTTGCCTCCCCTCCATGATGAGGGAAACTCTGATCACACCTAAAGCACACTTTTCCCTCTTCAACTAATCGTCTCCTGCAGACAGCAGTATGTTTTGTCAGACAACATAGGCAGAGTGTAGTTTTTTTCTTAACACCCCGTGGAGCAGAGAAACTAATAAATACTCCCTGTCTCTCTACATCCATTTCCTGGCTGCCTCTGGGGAATGCGAAGGCTTTGCAGTGCCTGAAGAAGGATTGTTACTCTCCCCAGTGTGTGCAGGAGTCAGGAACTCCCTGGAGGTGACAGGCTGGCTGGGGTGGGAGGGTGGCTTCTCGCTGGGCTGCGTGCTGCCGCGTCCCCCCACGCCTGCGGGCTCCCCACCTGCTGCTCCCGCGCACGGGTCCCACTCAGTGGGCGCTTCCTCTCTTTGCTCTAGTGTACACTGGTTAATGTTAAAGAGCGTGGCTCCACGGCTAACCGGTGGCACTTGGGGTGCCGCTTGCTCAGTCTAGGAAACTATGTGCCCTTTGTACTACACATAGATACCTGTACATCATCTAGTTAGGCCAAATACCACCACCATGCCGTGCCAAAATCATTAGCCCGTAGCGAGCGATTGAGGGGCACTGTGATCACTCAAAGACCTTTGAGCAAGCCCAGTGAAAGCTGGAAATGTCGCCCACCTCCTGCACTCCCCCAAAAGGCTGCAAGGTGTGTGGTTGTCATACCAAACATTATCACTGTGTGTATTTCATCCCTGATGTGGTAGTTCTAATAAATTCTGCACGTTCTCTTGAGTTATTTGTGCACAGACCATGAAAAAGGATTTGTGCTTAATAATATGTAGGAAAAGTGGTACTAATCGTACCCTTTGCCCCCTTTGTTCCCATCCCTTTCCCCTTCCTCTGCATGAAATGTGATGCTGTCACTAGTTCGTGCCATGCTTGCCCCCACCAGTCCTCACTTCTGTCTGTCTCTTTCCTTTCTTTTCTCCTTCATGTATTTTGCACTTTTCAGCTTCTCTTACTCTTTTTTCTCCGCTAAACCTATGCACAATGCATAGACAGACCCACAGTTAAAATTAGTTTCTGACATTTTCTGTTCCTGAGGGGTTTTCTTTAGCAATTTATCTTCTTTTCATTTGATATGAAAGTAATTTTCTCATGATGCACCGGTTTTGTTTTCCGACTAGTATCTTGATCTCCTTGTCCCTGCACCTCCAAAATGTTGCAAATAAGGGTTTTTTTTTAATTGTTGTGGCCACAACATACATAGTCATAATCTCCTATTTTAAAGTGAAGGTATACATTATTAAACCTGTGGCTGAGTTGTTGGTTTGTTTTTTGTTTTGGTGGTTGGGTTTTTTTTTGGGGGGGGAATGAGTGCTGATTTTAAGTTTGTACCTTCTGAAACAGAAAAGGATGCAATATATACAGTCCCGGTGAATGGCGTGTGATAGATTATAGCGAGAGCAGTCGGAGCAAATGAAATTCTAATGGAGTTCTTCTTCTGGCTGTAGGAAATAGCTGTTATTTATCCTGTTTCCTAAGATGCTGCATGCATACTGCTGTTTATTATGTACTTAAAAATCCCTTGACAAGTCAATAATGAATAAATGAACTTAAAGTTATTACAACACCCTTAGCATGAGGAGCGTAAGCCGGGATATTCTTCAGTGTTCTCTTCCCTGGGTTTGGCTGAGGCATTTCTGCAGAGATGCCAACCTGGATAGTTCAAATGAACAATTTTGATTCTTTCTTCTGGCAGGTGTACGAGGCAGTCCCATGCTACAGCGAGTGCAATCAGTATTCTTGGGTTGTAGAACCATGGTCTCCGTGCAAAATCAACAGTGAACAAAACTCCCTCCACTGTGGAGAAGGAATACAAACGAGGAAAATCAGGTGCGTGAAGTCAAAAGCACAGGTACTCCAGATTAAAAAGAGGTGATGCATATTTGCATACAGCTGCAGTACCTGGCCATCTGACAGTGAGTATGTTGCTGAGTCCAATGTATTTCAAATTAAAAGAAACACGCATTTATGTGCAGGGGTTTACAGGAAAAGCATCTCAGAGATACAGCCTTGTGTTACGATCAAGACGTCTTTCAGGAAGAAGGCATGATGTTTAAATTAGAATTCTTCAACCTAAATGCCATATGTACATAAAGCCCCTTGAGGTGCAAAGCCTCCATATTCTGATTTGCTAACATTTTCCCCAGGTAATGGCACTGCACACACTGGACTGGCGTTCATTATTAGTAAGTATTCATTCCCTAGGCATGGGGAAATGCTGAGTTATTTCCAAATGTCCCTGTGTTACTAGCAGGAGCACAAAGGTCTGTTCTTGCTGGTTGTAATTTTCTATTCTCTCATCTGTCAGCTGATCAAAGTTAAAATCCCTCCGTATGAAGCTTGAAATATTTATTTAAAGTAGTTATTGAAATGTGTGAGTAACAAAAGCACGTCGTGTGTGTAGCTGGTTTTGATTTGCATTAACATGATTAATTCTGCTTTGAGATCAGCCATGCTGCATATAGCTATTGTGTTATATATAGCATCCCACATACAGTGGGGTCAAGCAGACCTGTTGATATCCATCACTTCTGCAGTACACTGATGAACCTCTAATGAAAATATCTTGTTTTCTCTGTAGGTGTGTGAGTACTGCTGAGGAGCACGGAGGGGAGACTGTACCCAGTGCACTGTGTAATCAGGCTGAAATCCCAGATATGATGCAGAAGTGTAGCTTGTACTGTCCCAGTGAGTGTGCGCTGTCTGACTGGGGCCAGTGGAGCACGTGTCCGCAGGTAGGTTCTCCTTCTCGTGTCGTGGTGGCAATGTTCCTCACGTATCCATCTTCTCTGTCCTTCAACCATTTCATGAGATAGTTATTTTCTAACAAAGTAGATTATTTTCTGAGGGAAATCAGGCTTGATGGATACTGCCAGCACAGTTGAATCTTGAGATATTTATATTTCTACAGAGACTGAGTTATAGAAAATTAGTTAGTAAATAATAACCCATAGTTATTACTGTGACAGCTGATTCAACACATCCTTCCGCTTGGTCTATGGGTAAGGACCCACGCAAGTACAGCTGGTGAAGGGACCAGCACTCTAGCTGCAGTAAGGGCTGTCTGTGTTAGGAAATATTTGCAGGGGAGAGCTCTGTGAGTGATACATGACTGCCATAACAGCCTGCTGGTAAACCCTGGTGGTGGCACTCCTCTGGACAGGTCTTAGGCCTGAGGGAATGACAGCTCTCCCTTCCTAACACACACTATTTCTGTCCAATGTCTCCTCCTCCTCCTCAAAACCTTGAGGGAAGATTTGAGGCAGCAGCGACAGAAGGGCATGGCAGCAAGATGCCTGAACAATTTGTCATGTCACTAAATACTCTAAACTTTGTGAATTATGCAGGGATTCAAGCCACTGCCAAGTGCTCTGTGTTTTCCTAAGTGTGCAAGATGGAACGAAGCTGCAAATTCTGTCCTGTGAAAACTCTCTGGCCTCAAAGTGTGTAATTTCAAACCTATTGTTTCTGTCTGATCAGTGTTGAAATAGATGCCAGGTTTAATCTTGGTGTTTTTTGTTTTTGTTTTTTTTTTTTTTTAATAGGCTTGCTTGATGTATTTAACTGACAAACATATATACATTGCCCCTGTGTTAACAGGGCCGTTATCAAAAGTCTGAGTGGTTATTGGACAGGTATTTATACTACTGCTGACACAGGTAATTTCCTTCCATAATATTTTGTGTAGCGTATCAATATACTCAGTAAGAACATGTCAGATAAAATCTTGTGTTTCATTTCCTGCATTCGCCTCCTCCTGAGCAGCATAGATTTGATGAAGTAGAACTCTCTTGCAACCGATACAGAGTCTTGGGTACTTGGTTGGGCTGTTTCTTTGCTGTTGACTTTTTTTTTTCAGAGATAGATTTTCTTTGTTTTAGCATGCAGTAAACTAATGCAGAGATCTTCAAGGCCACTGGGTATTTTTCAGGTGCCTTGGTGGCAATCAGCTGGTTACAAAGGACTGCTTGAAGCTTTAAGCACCCTGATATCCTGCAGACACCCTCAATTTTTGCCTTAAGGCACCTTTTTGGCAATGGTGAAGCCTCTATCCCACAGAAGCAGGAAAGCTATGCCCAGAGCTTGTGGGCTGCACTCCATCAGGCAGCGTAGCTCTTTGCAGTTGCAGGACTCAGTGCCACAGTCCCTGTGTCTCCTTGTACATCCTTTTGCCACAGTAGATGTTAATTCATAAATGTGAGGGCATCTGTATGCCAATGCAATTAACTGAACAATATGTTTTCACAAGCTGTTCTGCAAGGCTTTGTTGTGAAACTGAGATGACTGTGTGCTCATGGAGCATGTGTTTAAATAGTTCTGCCCAGATACGAGGCAATAAACAGCTTGAAGTTTTATGGACAGATAAAACCCTCCCTTTGACGAGTTTACAGCAGCGCTGTCTCCCTTTTATAGCTACTTTGCTATTTCTGTTTGGTTTTGAGAGAGGACCAGACCACACAGCACAGTCCCTCCCAGGAGGGCACATGCTTAACGTCTCCAAGGCAAGTGCTGGGCTTGCTCTCAGTGCAGAATGGCCGTACCATGACAGTGGTGTATCTTCAGCGTGTGGGGGGATACCGGTGCAATGGGCCCCGCTGTGAGAAACACGGTGGCCAGGAGGGAGGCATTGCCAGCAGCAGGGTAATCAGTGCAGCCCTCCATCTTCTGAGGAAAGGTGGTCACTGAGAATGGCCACAAGCTGGCGGACATGAACAATGGAGTTACAAAGGCAGTGGGGCCTACGGAGGAACCCTTTTGTCCGTCAGGGAAGAGCTGCGTACGATCAGTTGAAGAGGCTCCACTGGTTGCAAGTGAGAGCTTGGGTCTGGATCTTGCATAGACACCCTGCATATAGACACCCAAATATAGGAGTCTGCATCTGGGGCTGAATCTCTTTTGGTCAGACCTGTTGTGCTGCCAGCCCTGCATCAAATGTCTTCGGGCCCAAAAACCGCATCGGTAAGTTTGCGCACATAGAAACTTTTGCTCGTTAGGGCTGTCTGTTTAATTGTGTTTGAGGGAATTTTGCTCAATAGCTGGTATAGTTATGCATGGTTTCTGTTTCATGCCAAAATGGAAGTAAATGCCTGTCTTCCAAGGATGCATCAAATGCTTTTTGAATATTCACCGAAAAATCTATTTTCTAAGTAAGGCTCCTTTCTCTTCCGCAAGTAATCCAAAAAAAATTTGAAGGATCACATCATATTGCAGTGAAAAAGCAAAACTGTACATCCTGGCTGCTCTTTTTCAAGCACATTTACATTTCACATCAAAATAGTTGGCACTCTTTTAGTCATAGCACTCTTGTGAGGTGCTGCCAAAGAGCATTCTGGGAAATCTTCCTGTATCTCTGGTCATGTTTGGCTTGCTGGAGATAAAGAGGATTTATGAAACTTGACAAATTCTACTTTGTAAGAAATGAACAATCACAATTTCAGCCTCATCTTTGCTATAGTAGCTCTTTGATTTGAGATATTTACCTAAGATTTTGGTCAGGTGAGAATTCTTTTCCAGTTGCTTTGGTGTTCTACTCATATTTTATAACGTTGATAATAAATTCATCCTGATAGCAGAATAACTAACTCTTATCAGCTGAATATAGAACGGCCTTTAGATTATCCAGTGTACCTTTTGTCAATATGTCATTGTACTCTGGATACTTTCTAGGGTATTATTTGGTTTTATCTTGTAGCAATACTCTTCCCATGTGAATTTTTGACTTTCAGGATAGTAAATGATCTTGAATCGTGTTGAAATCAATGAGTCATGAAGGTGGCAACTTCTTTATCAATAGGAAATATTTTCTTCAATGCTCCTTTTTGCTAAAACATTGTATATGTTCTACCTGTTTTGGCTGAATTTCCCTTTTGCTTTTAAATATTCATGTTTCTAGGGTGGTCTTTTGTAATTTAAGATGTTCCCACAGTTCTTATATGTGTATTTTCCAACTGAATTGCAATTTTTGCATCTTGATTATAGTGCTATTTAACACTGCTACACAAAGCTAAATTTTAATATGTCCTCTAATGGCACTTTGCCGTCACCCAGAAGTGCAGCTGTCTGAAATGTAATACTTTGATGTTATTTTTGAGGTTTTGTCTCTTTACTGGATTCTGGAAACTCATAATTACTGATTTAAAGCTTCCCTATTATTCTCACATTCTCTATTGTGAGAAGTAAATTCAGAATAGTTTTCCCTCTGATTGAAGACTATTTTTCGGCTCATAAAGTTTTCTTCTTTGTCGCTAAGTAACATCCACATAACTTAAATATCAAGGCTTTAAAGCCATTTAAACTAACAGTTTGAAGCTTGCTAGTTAGAAAAAAAAAAAACACCCATAAGCAAATTGGATTGACTTGCATTTTGCTTCAGAGATTTCGTATTCGTTCCAGTTCCAGCTACAATAGCGTGTTCAGTCAGACATCATCACTTGATTGCTCAAAGACTCAGCTAAACAATCTGGAAACCAAAATGCTACCATCTCTGTTACATATTCAGTGATCGAATAACATGCACTTCCTGCGGTGTCTCGACTTTGTATTCATCTGACTTGGAAATGTAATTAATTGACTTCAGTTGAATTCATCAAAGCATTCTTAAAAAGAGTTAATATGCAAGTTGTGCTACAAGTCCCTGAAATAATTACCTCAAATTTATTTTGTTAGCTCTCTGTCGTGTGGATAGCTGTCGCAGCCTCCGTAGCCGATCAGAGTGGCCTCCTTGTTTGCCTCAGCTGTTGGCATTTCTAGCAGCTAATTCCAAGAGGTCTGAAATTAGTTAATTATAGGAGGTTACATGTCTAGTGAGTGAGAACAGCTGTGTCTGCTTCAGAGAGCATTTTCCTCATGGATCAATAGTGATGTACAATGCTCAGGACTTGCAACAGCTGAGTTATTATTCTCTTGAATCTGCGGCAGGGGGTGTGTGTGTAATATTGCAACAACGGCCCATATTAAAAAGTGGCACCAGGCAATACAGCTAACTCCCAGGTTTTGCGGTGACCTTCATTGTCGATGCGAGTCGGAGTCATTACAGTTTGGAAATGACAGCTGGAAGAGAAATTATGGACTCCTGTAGATGTTGGGGCTCGCTGTGTGAGTTACCAAAGTCTTCATCATGGCCAATACCTTTATGTGTGGGCTTGGCAGAGGACCTGCAGTATGGAGGCTGGATTGAAGAATGAAGCTTCCACGGAGTTGTATTTCTAGCCCAAGAGATAATTTATTCAGGTCAAGCATGAGAATTATGTTGGTCCAAGGCTTTTTGGAAGAACATGCACTGCTCCTTATGCGTAGTTGTGATGTTTTGGGGTTTTTTTAAATAGCTTTATAAATACTGGTGTATTTTTTAGATTTTTTTTATTTTTATCCATCGTAATTAAGAATAGTTTTTTAAAAAGCAATGGTTATATATGGAGGCAGCTACGGTTTCAGAAACTAGATGCATCTCAAAAGGAAAATTTATGCAAATGCATTTTCATTTCGAAAGACTGCTCATGTTATTGTAAATGGCTTGTTAAATTGTTACAAAACATCCACGTCGGCATGAACAATATAACGGTTCATTGCACTGTTAAAAATAGTCAAATCCTGTTGCCGCCAATGCATTTACCTTAGTTTGAGGTTGTATGTTTCCGTATGAATAGCCAGTTAAATATAATGTGGCCAGCTATTTATAGTGCAGTATGCATTATACAAGCTGTTTGATAAATTAAACAGCTTAAAGAGCTCTCTA